GTTGGATTTAACAGGAAATTGTCGCATTCCAGATGCCAGTTGTTGGGTCCTGACCACTAGTTTAACGAACTAAATATGGATCTGTTTAGATCAGTTCTGACGCTAACTGTTGCACGCTAACTCAGGTAAGTGCATTCATACTAAAAGTACTTCTCAGCAATCCTCGCCGCAAAGGGACACTATACGACGCGAATGAAAAGTTCCTCTAGAACACCCATGACCGTTTGCTTCGACCTTGGATTGGGAGTGAAAGTTATCCGAAGGGTCGGGGTAAACGGCACGGTCAGCTTCGTTGAACTCCGCCTGGTGTATGGTATGACTGAGTTAACTGAATATTGGTAGTTCAGGATGCATTGTGACCGGCGAATGCATAGTATTCTAAAGTCCGATTTTTGTGTGATATCCGTAAGCCCCAAGAGCAATTTACAAATTGTAATAATCTTGACCAGTAAACTTTGTAAATAAAGGCAGGTAATTTAACGGCCCGCATAGTTTCTGAAGGCTTCTAATCGATATCGATTATTATATGATCTGTGCAAGAAAAATAAACGTGACAGTTTGATTTTCATTTCGTTTGTGAAAATGTTGCTTTATATTTAAAAAAACTATAATAGAACTTTTGTATGTTGTCGTTTTCAATCAACCTCCCGGTATCTCGATTACGAACCACACTTTCCGATTGTTGGCGTAAGCGAGTCTTTTCTCCGTCTACTCCATTTGGATTTATCGCGCACCTTGGTCATAATACTCCTTCCCCTGTTGTGTGCGCAGAATTCAAAGTAACACAGCTTTCAGTAGGTTCTCTAAGATGTATACTACTACAATCTTTTGCCACACGAGTAAACTATTAGTTAAAAATATTGCTTTGTTACGGACCCTACATCTCTTGAAGACCGCTAAAAGGCATGGCATCAGTTCCGATGGTAGAGGCTACCGAAGATGCTACCATTTCTTTATGAAACAGGATAAATTATTAGTCACAGAAGCCGTCTTTGCTTAACTGGAGTGCATTTCGATTTAATTTTTTTTCTTTCGCGCGGTCTATATAGTGAAGCCGTTCTCCTAGTGTTCGCAGGAGTGAACATCAACTCGTAACTGGATACATAACTGCATGTGCTATGACAAAGTGTCGGATTCTTTCAATAAAATTCCTCAATTAATACTCCGGAAAACATAATTTTGTTTCTTATGGCAAATTTAGCATATTAGAAAAAAGGGCAGCGCTTAGCTAATTTCAGTCCGCTTTGGAGCTGCCACAGAATAGGAGGCCACGTGAAGCGTTCGAAACAACCGGGCACTAGGCGGGAAAGGCTTACAAGCATTTCCGACTGGTTCTCGCAATAGGCCAGAAACCTTGACGGTGCTAGACCCTTCATCTTTGCTCCCCTCAGCCGCCCAGGTCAAGGGGAAGTTATCTTTAAATAAGACTGACTGAATATTCAGTCAGAACCTGTGCGCCCCTCGCGAGTCCGCAAATAGGGTGTTCGGACACCAAGCGAGGAGGCAGGTCGCCGGCTCACGACGCCTGCAAGTCGCAGCCACTCCCACGCCCACGCTGCCTGTCCGAGAAAGGGGTCAGACCCGAGAGAGCGCAGCTTGCAATGATCT